GAGGTGAGTTGACAACTTCAAAATGGAGAGAAAATTCAGAGTAAAATAGTTGAAAATTCTGATGATGAAAGACGAAACGTTTCTACATTTTTTTGTTTGGTTTTGTTTCTTTGAATGTCCAGAGGACCTGAATGAACTTTTTTGGAGTTGAAAATTCAGTTTCAGTCTGAGGATTCAGGCAGCCACATTTAGCATTTTTATTTTGTTTCTACTTGGAAAACAAAGTACTGAGAAAACGTGGCACACCTGCACAAACGCAAAGAAGTGGAAAACATTTATTACTGCCAGTATATTTATCACAACTTTTCATGTGCGAGGCGGCCATTTTAGATGTTGAGGTCAGGGTTGGTAAGTATTCTGACTGGCTGAGTCAAATTTCAGATTTTCCTGCTCATTTCTTCAGACTTTAAACAGAAATGTCAACGTTAGAGAACAAATTAAACTCACCAGGTGTTTAATAATCACGATTCACCTACACCTTGCTGAGAAGCTGGCTGTGATATAGTTTTGTTAAATCTGTGCAAAGTCAGAATCTGCTGGTCGTAAACAATTCTTTTTATAGAAAAGCTTTTTATTAACTATAAAAACAATCTAGTGTAAAGGGGATAAAGTTCAGAGTTAATAACATGTTGCCTTTTATAGATAATCTTTTCTGCCATGATTTGATTTAAAGCTTCTGAGATAATAAATGTTTAACTTCACGTGCTGTTTAATTTTCTCCTCAGGACAGAACAAACAACTTATTCAAGCAGGTTTATGAACAGAAGAGTCTGAAGGGACGAGCCAACGATGCCATCGCCTCAGCCTGCCTCTACATCGCCTGCAGACAGGAAGGAGTTCCCAGAACTTTTAAAGGTCAGAAAAATGTTTGACTTCCTGCCGAGTCCTAAAACAGCTGGAAAAATATTGATTATGGTTTCAATACTTTTCAGGTCTGGATAAGTTTGAAAATGCATTTTTGTTCCCACATTCAACTCCTTCTTGTATTTTTTTTTTTAAGATAAAGAAAAAATAAAGTGTTTTTCACATTAAATTCATATAAACTTAGACATAAAATATAGCTAGTATTTTGGTGAGGCAGAAAAGTTTTTTCCTCTATAAACTTTTAAAACAAAACTAAGTACTATTTTGTCAAATAAAACACACGTTTCTCAAAGTAATAGGAAGTTGTTTATCCTCCCAAGATGCATCGTAAAACTACTGAAAACATGTTTATTGTGAACTCTTCTCATATCTGAGGAACGCTGAAGACAAAGTCACTTATTTGAGGCAGAGGAATTTATAGCTGTAGTTCTTTAACAAATGCTGATGTTTTTCATTCTGTGAAATCTTTACATAAAAACACTGTTATAAAGGGCTTATTATGGCTTTATAAAGGGCTTATTATGGCTTTA